GCTATTTTCATAAATACTGGATCATCCTTTGCATAAATGCTGCATTCCTTTGACTTTTTTCTCAATATTTTTTATTCTTTATCTTTTTTATTAATTGTAGTCTGCATGCAGTGCTACTTAATATAGTTCACTGAATGCTCCAGAATACATTGATCTCATTTCCTGAACTGTGGGACATTATCTTCAGTATAATCCACAATTTCTTGTGTGTAACTTTGTTTATTTTTTTCACAGGTGGCGAACAATCTCATTACTGTATATCATATATGTTTTGAAATTAGTTGTTACATACTTCTGTGAAAGGAGCTCAAAATGCTCTGGGGAAGTGCAAAATTAATTGCAATCTTAGTTACAACCCAATGATCTGGGACTTGTAACCTTGGATTTGTGACTTTATTTTTAGTACTCTACTAATGAACCCTAGGAATCTGTTTGGGTATGTAAAATGACACTTAATTTTTAAGAAATTTCTACAGGAAAATTATTTAAAATAATCATTTTAAGAAATAGGTATCATTCATTCAAACTGACTCCTGTTATTTTTCTGAGGGGGAAATTATTAAAGCTAATCAAAGCAAGCTCAACATTTTACTTCAGACTTTAAGTTATAATGAAAAATGCCTTTTAAGTTCTAAAGAATTTTTTATTTGAAATTTTGTTTTGGCTTAAATGGATATTTTCTCTTATTACTTAGTGACCTATTGGGACATACAGAAGGATAAATCTTAACAAATTCTATGATCAAATGAATTAGTATTTTTATAATCAAAACAAAAGCCGTAATATTTTGGTCTAAAATATTAAGTAGAAACCATATAATTAGCTAAATTAGAAAAAAAAATTTCAATGTATACGCCTGAAATATTTTACTAAAATTCTTAAATATTACATGCATGTTTTGAAATTCTTTCTTATAATCAGAATATCTGATGAACTACAGTATTTCAGCATTGTTTCTCAAGTTAGTTCCCTATGCCATTCAATTTTGAGATGAGGTAGAGAGATAAAGATATTGATAAAAGTTATAAACAATAAAAATGACAATCCAGGGAAGTCAATATTTATGATTGCTAAAATTAAAAGTAAAAATGTTAGAATGTTTCTCTTACCTAGATTTCACTGAGAGGAGCTTCTTGAAAATGTACTGTTTGCTTTATGTGAAGCTCTCAGTGTATAGGAATATATATGTATCTTGCTCCCTGAACATTTGAGATTAAAAGAATGAAAACTCAGAATCTACCTGTAGGTCATTGTAAATAATTCTGTTACTTTCATTTTAAATTTTTCCATCATACCCTAAAGGAATTTCCCTGCACTAATATCAGTGTAATCAAAGCAGCATGCTAATTTGAAAGAACAAACATAGGGGCTAAGGGAATGCAGTACAGGGGTCTGACTAGGACCATGGAATGTAGTCAACAGAGGCTTGACAACAGAGCAGAAGTAATTAAATGCATAAAGGATGGACTTTCTACAGATGGTGCTCTAAGAATTAGATATCTATATGCTAAAAATGTGAACCTAGATGCCTACTTTACTAATTTCACAAACATTAACTCAAAATGGATCATAGTTCTGAATGTATAATTAACTAATAAAATTTCCTGAAGAGAACATAGGAGAAAATTTAGGCAATCTTTGGTATGGGTAAGAGGAAACTAAGAAGACATTATGAAATATTATATGGTATTGTAGAGGAAATTTGTGGCAGAAGAATATTAAGTGTGCAGTATGGAAATCTCAATAAAGTATGAAATCAGTACCTAATAATTCATCAATATTGGGTTACTAATTTTAATAAAATCATCATTCTAATTGAAAAATATCAATAATGCATTGCAATGAGGATGTGATATATGGGGTTACTCCATACTTTATAATTTTCCATAAATTTGAGACTGTTCTAAATTTTATTCAAAGTTTATTAAAGAAAAAAAGGCTTTGTTGTAAACTTCCTGCTTTTAAAATGAAGTCAGACAGTTGTTAGAAAAAGTATCCCCATTTCCAGCTCCATATGTAACATTTAATTCAAATACAATACTTAATTCAGAAGGATTGCCAATGGCTATTACCACCACTCTTTAAAAATAACTGATGAACAGAAAATTCACACAGTAACAGATCACTATACTGCTTAGATTTTTTTCAGAAAAGAAATAAGTGATTTTTTTTACCATGGAAAGACCTGGAGAACACTTCCTAACCAAATTATGAAACTGATCATCTCCCCTAACAAGACAAAGTGACATTATGAGTCTCCATGATGTACAAAGACATAGCACATCTACTATTCTCATATTATTTAGTTATGAGGAAACATCAAAAAACGTATACCTTGCAAGGATTTTTACAAAATATCTGACAATAAGTTATTGAAGTTTAAGAAAGTTATGAAAATATCTAAGTATATGCACATAAATATTTTCAACAATGTTCTGTATTATATATCTGTTGCTTGTGTCACCCCTTTTTCTACTATAATACTGCTGGTACAATAGACAGTTTTTACATATTTTCTGAAGGGATGAATTAACCCAATTTCCAATGTAGGACTTCCTCTTTAAAAATAAATGAAAATTGAATCTTATTTAGATAAATTTTTATTTAAATAAATGAATTAAGAATATTTTAATTTTATAAAAATTATACAAGTTAGTATCAGTTCCCCCTTTTGAAATTTATTAGTACATGTTCACAGTGCATAATGATTACATTTACTGTAGGGGATTTGTACAGGTACATAACACATTTCAATTCTCTTTTTTCCCCCTCCCCTCCACTCCTTTTTTATTTCTCCAGTATCAGATTCATTTATTTATCTTATAAGACCTCATAAAGTAAATTATCATATATGCAGATTGAAAACCAGATACTGTGTCTCAATTTTTTTTTTTTTGATACTAGGGATCGAACTAGGGTCCTTGCGCTTGCACAGCAGGCGGCAAAACCACTGAGCTAAATCCCCGGCATTGTCTCAATTTTAAAGTTTTGAAAGACATAATAGATATTCTGGCACATCCAGGGGTAGAATGAAATTTTTTATTTGCTCTGATACAAAAACAATGTCACATTAAAATACCTTTTTTCCTAACCTGCACACAGTCCCAGTATAGTCTCATTTAAATGGATTAAAAATACAATCTGAGAATTTTCATACTAAACTGAAGGATTAAAGTTTAAACAACCAGTATAATTCAAAAGGAGAATTACCTTTAGTCTTTAGGTTCTGATTCTCTAAAGCTTCATTCGCATCACTATGTTTAAACATTTGAAGTTATGCAGTGAGATAGGTTTGTTGACAAAGCAGACCTGCAATGACAACTTCAATACACTTTTCTTGGGCTGGAAATGGTAGGAATTAAAGACTAATACCATCCTAAGAAGAAATATCTGTGGAAGGGAGGTAAATGGTATGGCCAGAGGTGTGTGTGTGTAGAACAAATGTTCTCAGAGCCAACAAAATTTGCATATACAGAAACTTAATAATTCAGCTAGACAACAGAAAATAAAATGATATAAGTAAAACCCTAATAATTAAAATGTAAAAATAAAGTGCTCTCAGCATTAAAATAACTGCACATTATTTCAAGTTCCAATCTCTGTATGGTGAAGTAGTACGATATTAACTGATGAGACAACACAGTGATTCACATTTTGAACACACACTATGGCAGTCTTTGAGGTGACAGGATTGTCTGGAGATGTGAGAATTATCAAAGCCCAAGAGTAAATATTCTTTAATAAACTAACCTTGTGTATAAATACTTTCCCTTTAAATATTTCTCCCTGCTTTATGCTAGTGTCTGTCATCACCTTATTACTCACTGATGTCTGATATAGTAGACATTACTGAAACTCAGTGTGAAAGGATCTTGTGAAAGATAGGCTAGATTTTATGAGATTGGTGAAGGTGTTGTTGGAAAAATGCTTGAACAAAATGTATGGCCCCAATGATAAACAAGAGCAAGTAGAGTTAGTGTGATTAAAATATAAATAAAAAGCAGAAAGGTAAAATATTAAAATAGTCAATAGACAGGAATTTATACAAAATGAAGTAAGTAGGGGTTTTGGGAAAACTCAAGGGTTTTTTGGATATTTTTCACAAAATTGATCTGTCATTATTTTTACTCTCTTTCCTTGAAATTAAAAGTTAAATGGTGCATAGTTATCATACTGTAACCTGGACGTGACATTTGATTCACTTTTCTAAAATTAGTACACATTTGTGATCACAAGTATTTGATTAAATATGAGACAAAATATTTATTTCTATTTATGCTAGTTTTAAAAAGCAAAGTTCTAATCAACCCTTCTCTTCTCTACCTACTATAAAATACCAGTCAAGGGCCAGGGATTTAGCTCAGTGGTGCCTCCCCCTGCCTTGCAAGTGCAAGACCCCGAGTTTGATCCCTGGTACCAAAAAAAAAAAAAAAAAAATTAATCCCTGGGGCCAAAAAAAAAAAAAAATTTAAAAAATTAAAAAAAAATGCCAGTCAAAATTTTATAAGGATTTATTTCATGAGGATTGTTTCTCCCTGTGACCAGTGAGTAATCCTCAGATGAAGCTTCTTTGTAATTCTATTTGCCCAATCACCATTTCTCCATTTCAGAATGTAGCATGAGCAGTTCAGATTTATTGTTAATTTAAAACAGAGACCAGAGTAGTTCAGCAATGCCAACATAGATTATTCTGGAAATAAGAAGTGAGCTAGGAAAAACAGAATATCAGAGGCGAAGAGCTGTTTGATGAGACTGGGCTTTGCAACTTAAATTCTCACAGGATGTTCTGAGAATGAAGTGGGATGACACTTAAAGACCCAGGGATACATACAAATGTGGAGACATACAAACAAAAAGAAACTTAAGGATGGACCCATGAAAGAAAGTCCTGCATTATACTTTTATTTTCTGGCATCAGAGTTACAACAGTGATGCCCTTCACATATGTGTGGCCCCAGAAAAAAAGATCAAAAGAGTATATTTACAATTTATGGGACAACAACAAGAGAGACCAAGTCAAAAGAATTTAGGTCTTGTAGACTTGGGATAGTCACTTTGGCAGAAAATCAGTGTAAGTTGGGGACTACAAATGTAGATATTAAAGGTGATAGAGGCATGAAGAGATAACCAGAGGGCCAATGAGGACCCAACATCATAAAGGCTCACTTGTAGCATGACACTTGCTACCTCAAAGCCCTGACAGCAAGCAGGGACCTACACATTTATATGCAACTCTGAAAGAGTGGAGGTGAGGCTAGACAAATCCTACATGGATGAGTTTAAATGGAAATGGTGATAGAAATATTGAAATGATTCAGAAAAATTGAAGTCAGGTAGGATAGGGATTGTTGGGGCTCACAAAGAGAAATTATATATCATATTCCTTCATTAATGAATTTGGGAATTGAAAATGTATCTACTTTCCTAGGGCTTTTTCTGCACAGACTGCACATGTTCATTAGGTATGTGAGGTCAGCCTCTGTGGCTGGGTAGTCCGGCATGCTGCTGCAGCCTGACAGTTTCCTTTTGGGTATATAGTCATGACCTCAGAGCATCAAGAATGGATGTGGAAGGAGGAAATTTTATGTTATTTTATGTGAGCTCTTGATCCAGAAGTTAGGAATTAAAATTTTGGCAGTGTACTATTATTAAAGGAAATGAAAAAGTGGTGTTTGGCAACATATATCCCAGCACCTAGAACAATACTTCCACATATGAATATCTTAAAAATTAGCTGGTGTCTCCTCTCTCAGATAGGGCCAGAAGGAAGCTTGGCCTAAGTCACTGAGAAGGAGGCTCCTCAAACTGTACATGAGGTTTGACTGCTTGTCTAGAACTTTATGTTATACTACATATGCGTGTACATCTGGGGCTAGGTAAACTCTCTAAATTAACTTCTCTTGAAATGAACAATATATATTTAAGTGTTTCCCTCCATTAAAGCTTCAATTTGGAGATATAATATTCACCTCATTTTCTCATTACCTCTATGGTAATTATAACAGTGTACTTTCAAGCCTATCAAACTACTTCTTCCAAATAAACTTGCCATTAATTTGATGCTAATAGTTGTAAATGCCTTTATTGGTTGAAATCTCTTTCTTTCAGCTTACCTGGAATGCTCATTGTGAAACAGTTAAAGTGAGCTTGTTATAAATATTTATGCAATAGTCATTTGTATTTCTAACTGCTGGTTTTGTTGTTGTTTTTGAAGCTGTTTCTCACATGGACTAAGACCAGGAGCTTGGGTATATGTTGTTGTTCCTTGAATCACTTCAAAGTTTGGTGTTTTTGTCATTTTGTGTTAATATTTGGTACAGATTACCACTTTTAAGAGATTTTTCTATGTATATATTGCTGTTTAATATGAATGCATTTTGTTACATTGATATATTTACATACAATTTATGCATTTCCCCTGTGTAATTTTGTGTGGAAGGTTTTGCTGCTCCTAAACAATTAAGCTATTGTAGATGTTGTTTGTTTAAAATTTCTTGAGATTACCTTTTTAATCAGAATTTTTTGCAAGGCACTTTTTACTTCCTTATTTCTCAGGCTATATATGAAAGGGTTTAGTAGGGGAACTACTATTGTAAACAAAATAGCAGCTGGTATATCTTCATCACCTTCTTCAAGCAAATTTGGTCTAATGTACATGAAGAAAAGAGATCCATAGAATAATGAAACAGATAAAAAGTGGGATGCACAGGT